CCCCCCCCAACAACTCTGCCTGGGCCGGCGAAAACCCGACATGTCGCTCCGTCCCGGCATGCGAGGTCAATTGTCTAACGACTACGGCATGCATTGACATGAGTACACCCCCCCTCAACAACAACAAACCAAACCGCGTTTCCCTTTCATCAAGTACCCCCCCCCCCCCCCCCCCCCCCCCCCCCCCCCCCCNCGCTCCTCCACAGGTTGATCGCGCACAGAGCTTTGTTAGGAACTGGGCGAAGCGGCGAGTCGGGCCGGAGGTTGACCCCGGCTGGAAAGGGACCGTGCGTCTAGCACAGGCGAGGCCGAAGTACGGGGTGCCGCCAACGGACATGCCGGTGTCGGACTCGAGGACCAACCTGGGCGCGACGCTGAGTTTTGACGGCAGTCCCTCGGACGTGATCAACATCGAGGTTTTCTACTTGAGGTGGGCGGGGGCGGGGGCTGTGCTGGTTGTGGGGGTTGCGGGGGTTGGTTTTCATGTGGCCGATTTGGTTGTATTGTTGTTGTTGTTGTTGTTGTTGTTGTTGTTGTTGTTGTTGTTGTTGTTGTTGTTGTTGTTGTTGTTGTTGTTGTTGTTGCTGTTGTTGTTGTTGTTGTTGTTGTTGTTGTTGTTGTTGTTGTTGTTGTTGTTGTTGTTGTTGTTGTTGTTGTTGCTGTTGTTGTTGTTGTTGTTGTTGTTGTTGTTGTTGTTGTTGTTGCCGCTGTTGCTGTTTGTCGCTGTTGTTGTGCCGTGACGACGGTCACTCCTTACACCACGATGCGGCGCAATTCTCTTGGTCAGGCGAGGAGGAAGCTGCGTGATGGTGACGAGAGGCCTAGACGGCCTGGCACGGCTCGGCGGAATGGGTCCGCAGATTGCTTCCCTCGTGAGACATTCAGAGGACGTCATCAAGGTGAGTCAGAACAACCTCTGCCACGAACTTGTCTCGCGTTCGTTGCCAATTGCCCGGGGTCACAGTGACTACGCATCGTTACCAAGGGTATGTCTGACTGGAAGACCTCCCTGGTTTTCTGCGAAGGCATGTTTGTATTTACATATTCTGTGACATTGCCCTAGCAGCGAAGGACGTTATATCAGGTAGAATTGAACGATGGCATAGACAATTCTCCTGCTGGGATAGAAAAACCTCCTCCGACTAGTCGCCTTTTGTGGTCAGGGGACTTCTGGTGGCACCCCCTCGGTGCCAAGTGTGGGAAGATGACCTACAGCAATAGTACCTGGTGGCTAGACGTTCGGAATATGTTTGTGGGCGCGAGAAGTAAGGAGTTGGGAATTGAAACGTCGACCTTGGTTGTCAAGAGATGGCCTGGTGGTATCCCCGGGTTTCGCACGTTGCCAAGCACAATAAATGGATAACCTTGAACTTGTACAACGCAAAGGGCTTCTTCATCTAGGTGAAGCTGGAACTTCACATACGTACGCTCAATCAAACCCGCCCCCTAGATAGGATGGGGGAAAAAATTGTTGAGAACTAGAACTTCACATACGTATGCTCGACCCCCCCCCCTAGATAGGCTAGGGAAAACATTCTTGAGTCACCTTCGGCAGAGTAGGAAGGAACGATTGGCCATCGGTAATCGGTCCTGTGGGAACATCGCTCCGTCCTCTCGAGGACGCGTGGTCAATGGTTTAACCGCTAAGGCATGCAAAACATAAGAGTACGCCCCCGCCGCACGCACACACATACCTCCGCCGATCCTTGTCAACCGTAGAGCACTAGCCTGGGCCAGCGAAAACCCGGCTATCACATCGCTCCGCCCCGGCAGTAGGGACGCGAGGTCAATGGTCTTACGACTATGGCATGCACGACCATGAGTACACCCCTCCCAGGTACTTCACGCGGGCTCGATGCGGGGATTTTTGTTAAATGCTGTCCCACACCCGCCTCCGACACAGGACAAACTGCAAGACGACTTGGCCAGCTTCGCGGACGGTTACCACGACAGGGTGCTAAAGGGACTGGCCCCAGCCGCGGAGCCTTACGATGAGGAGGGGGAGCAGGACGACGAGGGTGATGGTGGTGGCAAACAGCAGCAGCAGCAGCAACCGCAGGCGACGGTGCTGCCGGACGGAGTCATCGACGTGACTCCAACAGAACCCCCTCCGGTAACTATCGTGTGTGTTATATTCCCCGTTTTGGGATGTCACGTTGGTGTTGTCGGGCCTTTTCCACTCGTGACCTGGAAGATGGGCTTTGGCACGTGGTCGAAAGGGGGTATACATATTTTTGCTGAAAGGGGGAGAAATGGTACGACACAAAAGGGGGTATTGTGCCGTGCGGTATGGAGCTTTTTAGACGAAACACAAAGAGGGGCACTCGGTTTACTCTTTTTGTACGCCACAATGCTATTGAGTTGCAGCGTTTTGTCTTGACAAGTACAGAGCCCGCCACCACTTAAGAACAACCCGGGAGTTAGAAATGCAGGCTTGAACAAACAGAAATTGAAGAACTCGACAGCAAGAGCAGGTGCTCAGTCAAGAAGCCCACACTAAACCTATACAGCAGTAGTGGGATGTTGGGCTACCCCCCAAAGAGGAAGTAAGACGAAGCCCCGGAAACAAGAGGATCTAAAGTGGGTGCGCGTTCTGTTCGGGGAGAAGAGGCTATTCGGGGAGAAGAGGCGATGGGCTGAGGTCGGCAGGAATGTTGGTGTGAGAAGACAACAGCGGTAGGTATGTCAGAAAGTATATTTCCTTCTGCGTAGATGATCGCGCATCAGGAATCATGTGTCACTGTTATCAACCGGAAAACAACAAGCCGGAACCCTTGGGCCTCCTTTGGTCTTGTCCGACGACTTGTGGTTTTGCTTCTTTTTGTATCCCTGTCCCCTTCATTTTTAGACCGCTCCCTGCATGAGTGTACTTTTTCGTGCAGCGCGTGCTGTTGATAACCCTAGCACCTCCCGCCTTCGTCGGGTGTCTAATAGTGCCACTACCCACACCTCTATGTGCTACCGCTGCTACTATTTTTGAACCAGTGCCCAGTAGCCCGTACAATTATCTTCCACCTCGTTCGCAACATGCTTTTTCAACGGTGCGTTTTCGGAAATTCGCTCTAAATTCTGTTCGCCAAGACATGGTTGTGTTCGACGGTGCGTTTCCGGGAAGCCGCTTTAAATTATGTTCTACCTAACCGCAAAATTAATATTTTCAACGGTGCGTTTTCATTAGGCCGCGCGAAAGAGAAAGAAACCGCCGGCCCCGTGGATGGATGGATCGGCCCCGCCCCCGATGGAAAGGATGGAAGACTCGCCAGAACGGGTGGACCTCCCTCCTTGGTGACTTGTTTTTGTTGTTGTTGTTGTTGTTGTTGTTGTTGTTGTTGTTGATGTTTTTGATGTTGTTGATGTTGTTGATGTTGTTGATGTTGTTGTTGTTGTCTTCGCATTCATACTTTCTTGGTCTCCGCTGCGTACCTTCTTGTATCTGTGCTGGTCCAACCGACTGCGGCTAGTGGCTGTGGCTTGTGTTTGACGGCCGTTGTCTGCCTGCAACATCAACAGCGACACCCAACGTCGTCTCGCCCCTCCCCCACCGTGTTCTTCCTCTCATGCTGCCCTCATCCCATTTTTTTCTCTCCACTTCGTTGTCGGGTGCGTTTTTTGCTTCTAACAGGGTGCCCGCCGAACAGCAAGAGCATGAGGTTCCTAGCATCGACACTCTGTTCGACGAGGTCGACAAGCCTAAGTTGGACGCGGAGGTCTTCGAGCTCTTCAAGACCATGGAGGTGAGCGAAGCCTTATGCGGCAGTGGCGGGGGGTACCGCAATAATGCCTCTACCCGGTGTAGTGCCGCCGGTGAAGGTGAAATAGCGTGACACGGATGGAGTGGGTTCGACTAACACGGATTGAATTTTCAATATTCAACTAGTCTTTTTGTGTGAAACGTGCCGAGTGCCCGGTAGAGTGCCGCCGGTGAATCCAACGGGCACATACAGGCGCTGTATGCGTATGTTCATGACATCGATCGGGTGTTCAGTTTGGCCCCTGGAGATTGGATTATGACTCAAGATCTAGTGGTTGCTTTCATCGCTGCAGCACTCGCGCATACGGACTTTTGTTGATGATGGTGACGATGGTCATGACGGAGTCAATCTCGATAGCAACACACATCTTTCATAGAAGTACAGAAGCTGAGGAGAGAGAGGCCTTTGGCGTGTGGACCATGAAGGCTAGCAGAGCCTAGCAGAGCGTTGCATACATACGACAGTCATTGGGGTTCGGTCCTCTCTCGCGTCATTAGTCGCGTTCCTTCTCGGTAAAAGTTGATCAAAACGTGTTGCCCAGTACCGGTACTCGGCAGTCATTTGAAAACAGACACACACACACACACAAGCCCCCCCACGGGGTCCCAGTTAATGGCATGTAGAAGTGTTTTATGCTTTCAACCGCATTGAGACTGACGTCTTTTCATTGGTCAGCCGGTTAGCGCGGTCGATCCCAGTAGTAAAAACACACACAAGCCCGTGGAAGCCTGCACCACACATGGCCGCCAACCAACGACAGAGCTTGCCGCTATCTTTGGTTTGAATCCATCATCAGTGCCCTCACTTGCCTTTGAGTCCGGAAGCCAGTGATAAGTCATCCCCCTGCAATATCGTGCTTGCTTGTTTTTCCCCTTTTTCAGGACGGGGAGAAGGGCTCAGGGCCCTCGGCAATGACCTGCCTGCTATTGCTATGTTATTTTCTCTTTGGAAAAGAGAGAAGGTTGAAGAGCCCACCGCACTGACCTGCTTGCTTTGATATGTTCATTGTTTCTCTTTTCAGAAGGGGGAGAAACTAAGAGCCCCCCACAATGACCTGCTTGCTATGCTATGCTTATTTTTTCTCTTTTCAGAAGGGGGAGAAGCGTTGAGAGCCCTCCACAATGACCTGCTTGCTATGCTACGCTTACTTTCCTCTTTGCAGAAAGGGGAGAAGGGGGAGGAGACAGTAATCGGAGCTGAAGCCAAGGGTGGCGCTGACTCCTTTTTCGCCGACATGCGGGCGGGCAACGGCACCAAGGAGGCGGAGCTGGTGACCCTGTTCGAGGCGGGCAAGAACGCCTCGCGAAGGGGAGGGGTCGACGAGGTAAAGCCAAAAGTCGCTCCCTGGTTTGGTGATTTTGTTGTTGTTGCGCTTCTCGAAGGGAAGGAAGGGGTCGACAAGGCGACGTTGGGGCTCTTTTGGTTCGGTACTTTTGTTGTTGTTTAGCCTCGTGAGGGGGAGGGGTCGATGAGGTAGAGCCAAAGTTGCTTCTAGCTACGTGATTATGTTGTTGCGCTTGGCGAAGGGAGGGATGGCCGTGGTCAAGATTCGGTTTCGTTTGGTTCTGTGTGTGTGTTGTTGTTACGCTTCGGGGATCGACGAGGTAAAGCTGATGTTGCTTTTTTGGTTGCTGTTGCTTTTTTTTTTGTGCCCTGTCTTCCAGTGGTTTCAAAGGACGATCCGCGATCCTTTTCCAGGCACGCCCCCCAACATATGTGCTTCGGCACATCCCTTTCATGGGCAGGCGATTGAACCAAGCCTTGTACCCCCTCCTCGCCCGACCACCAGCCGAGGGAATCTATCGACCCGCGGTGTAAGCTCTCCCCACCCCGTCCTCTCGAGTTTACACCGCGTGTGGTCAAACGTCTAACAACTTAAGGCATGCAAAACATGCCCACCCCCTCCCCCCTTCATGTACGTGCATGCATCGCTATAACTGCTGTCTTTTTTTTTGTCGCGTCCAGGCTAGCATCCCTATTTCGAGCGACCTCCACCAGCTGGAGGTGATGCTCGGCGGAGACACGGGGCTTCGCGGTGGCATCGACATCTTCGCGGGACCCCCTCAGCCCATCGGCGGGAGAGTCGGTGGGGCGGCGGCCTCGTCATCGAGTGAAGCGGGCTACAGGGGGGAGGGCGCCAAGGCGTGCGATGCTGACGGGGAGGGGGGTCCGCAGAGAGGAACGTATACCATGTTCGACGAATACGGAGATCCCGGTGAGATTTGTTGTTGTTGGTTGCGGTCGTACGGACAAGGATAAGGGGGGTTTGGTCGTTCGTGGAGATGCACAGAGGGAAATACCTTTCTTTGTTCCTGTATTCCCAGAGGAATTGTTGCTCCTATTGTTGTTGTTCGGGCTCAAGTTTTAAGCGTTAGGCAAAAACCAGGTATGTGAAAACCCGTCTACATGTAGTGTTATCACTATTAGTGTTTTGTTGGGCGATGTCGCGAGGTTTGGTATTAGTTTTCTGTCGAGTTGCACGAAACGATGTCACCGCCGGCCCGTTTAGCTCAACCTTCTCCTCTCTCCACTCCCTCAGGTGGTGGACTTGGACCCGACAACCGCGGATAGATGTGCACAGACATTGCGTTGGACGCAGGGAAGCTCATGGTGTTTGGCTGAAAAACGCCATCATTGTAAAAAATAACACACTGATAATTTTTTGGGGTCGCGATGTGTTTTTTTCTCTCCCCTTCTCCCTCTCACCCGCTCTACCCGCAGGGGGTAGGGCATGATAGCAGGACAAGCTTTCATTTCGCCACCGCTTCCTTTGAATCCCGGAGATCTTGAAATCGGTACTCTCGGTCGCCCCCCCCTCCCCTCCCCTCCCCTCCTCGAAAGTGCTGGAGCTTACGGCGGAGGAGATGGACGCCCTCGATGAGGACGAGCTCTTGGCTGCCATGTCGTCCGTCGACGTCTTGATCGCCGAGCTCGTCAAGAGCCCTAAGGACTTATGGAACGGCATCACCGCGTCTTACTCGGACCTCTACCTCAACCGGTGTTACATCCTTGCCATGCGTGCCAGGATCCCGAAGGTACGGGGGGGAAGGAAGGCGCAATGGGAACCGCATCGCAAAGGAAATGGGAGACAGAACACTGAATGATATGGACCCGACGCGGCTAGTTGTTCTGTGCCGTGTTGTCGTCGGTGTGTCGACTGAAAAAAAGAAGGAAATTAAATAAGCCTAAATTTGGAACTCACGACCTCACGTGCGTACGCTATGAATGGGTCCATGGCGATGATCAAGTTGGCACAATTCTTCATTGTGGTCGTTCGTAGAAAAGAGCGTGGTACGATTTTCGGCGGCGACGGATGACTATTGGACTATAATTTTGACATGTTTCTTTAGTTTGGTGCGGGTTTCAATTGTTTCGGCGTGCGTGCTTGACGACACGCATGTCGGTTTCGGTGTTGGTTCCCCGACCGGCACACTCTGCCGGCCCCCCTTTTTCCTGCCTGTTTTGATTGTGTTGATGCGGGTTTCAATTGTTGCGGCGTGCCTGACGACCCTGTGTTTCTCCTTGGTGTTGGTACTCCGGGCGGGCCACTCTGCCCCCCCCCCCCCCCCCCCCCCCCCCCCCCCCCCCCCCCCCCCCC